AAACTCATGACCTTGTGCTTGTGATGCAGGCAGCAGAACTACTGAGCTAAATCCCTGGCCCTAGAGATAATACAATTTTATAAAATGGACTTTGGGCTGGGGATGTAGCTCAGTGAAAAAGCACGTGATTAAATTAATGTGCACCGTAGGGGTAAGGGTGTGGGTCAGTGGTAGAGGGTTTGCCTGGTTTGCAGGAAGCTCTGAGTTCAATCTTAAACACTGAAAGCCAAGGAAATATGCATAAGACCTTAGGTTTAATCTTAAGCCCCGAAAAAAAAAATACTAAAATAAGTACAAAGCAAAAATAGATTTTATGTTTTTTGAGCAGTCATAGGTTCACAGCAAAACTGAGCAGAGAGTACACAGAGCTCCCCTACGGCCCCTGCCACCCCCAGCCACGCGGGCGTAGCCACCCCTCCATCCTCCACCAGAGAGGTACATGATAACGGCAGGACTTTGACTTCTTTTGTCCTTGCTCACTAGACAAGTTGAACCTTTTAAGAAATGTTAACTATTTTTAGCTCCTTGTCTGTGAATTTCTTTGTTTGGTGATTGAAAACCCAAAGGAAGTAAGACTGTTTGTAGCCTTTGCCCTTTCTATGGCGTCAAACAGAGGACCGTCCCGGTGTGGTCCATGGGCCCGACCAGCCACAATCCTGGTCTGTTTCCTTGCTTTGGTTTGCGGGATGGGACCTGGGGTTCCGCTTGTGAAACAAGCCACCTGGGTGACTCTGACAGACCCGGAAGGTGCTTGAACCGCAGGTTTTATGCCTAATTCTATTAACTGTGGCCGATAGGGGGCGCTGCATTAGCCCCGAGAGAGCGCCAGCCCCATTAGTCACTTCTGAGGGCTTCTCTCAGGAGCAAGTCGGGATGACTAAGGTTTTGTCATTCATAGGTGATTGTAATGAATCTGCATTCTTCTTCCTAGAGCAGGCTCATTGAGAAAAAGCTGCAAACTACCGAAATAACAGATAGGTCTTCCAGATTCCTTTCCGTGGGGAACTTTGCACTGTCAATGTCTCTCTGTCTAGAGTGGCCCCTCCCAGGCTTCCAATAAGGAAAACATAGGATACCCACATTCCTAATTTCTGCTTTTTGGCTAGGAAGTTTGAAAATCCTTTAAAAAAAAAATATATATATATATATATATATAAATGCACCTTTCTGAATATTATGCCTCAAAAAAGAAAAGAAAAGAAAAATAGTTGAGGAAAGGGCACATAGAAATAATGTGAGGATAGTTGCATTGTTTTAGAGTGGGCTTGCCTATTCCTTTGCGAATGGGACCGCAGATTGTCAGTATTATCAGAAACCATCAGATTTCTCAAAATAAACAATAAGCAGGAGATGCCTGAAAACCCTGTACTGGAGGCAAGGGAAGGATGTGGACAGCTGCAGGCCCGGGGCCCACCTTTAGGTGGATCTTGTTGCCTCCTCCTGCAAGGCTGAGGCAGGCTGCACCCTGTGGGGAGGGAGGGCTGTGTCCCTGCCGCCTGTGGGCTGGGGGGCAGAGGAGGGCACGAGGTGAGAAGCCTTTCCGAAATGGCGCTTCTCCTGTGCCCTCACTGCCTGTGCCTCTGGGGCCCCAGAAGCCCCTCCTTAGCACTGGGAAGAGACAGTCATGTGCCCCGCAATGGGCCCAGAGGCTGGGGAAAGAAGAAACACCGCAGTCCTAGAGTCTAAGCCCAGGTGCCCTGTGAATAAACAAGTCCATACGTTTGGGAGGTTCTAGCACCACGCACAATTTCTCCCTTTAAATTTCGAAGTGAAGTAGATGAATCACAAGGGATTTGTTGCCTTTGAGACAAAGGAGAAGAACTTCCTGAGTCCTCAGCACTAACTGCAGAGATTGGAAACAGGAGGAGGGAATGGGGAAGCCTTGCTAAGACCCGGGGGTCTCGGGCACAGGGCTTCCACAAGGAGGAAAGAAAGGGAGACAATGGACTTTAAAAACCCCTGTCTTACAAGTTTTGAAGCACCAAAAGCCAAGGTCCTTACAGAGGAAGAACTGCAGTTTTCCTGACAGCCTTGAGGTCAAAGTCGCTGAGAGGGAAGACCTTTAGGCCAAGTGCTCTACCTCCTGTCCACGCATACCTCACCCTGGGCGGAGGAAGGAAGTTTACCACCTAGCAGGAGGAGGGAGGCTTTCCTCAGGGCCTGGTCTGATTCCTCAGCTGGGACAAAGACTCTGTCAATGTTTTTTTGTTTTTTTGGTACCGGGGATTGAACACGGGTCCCTGTGCTTGCAAGGCAGGCGCAGAACCACTGAGCTAAATCCCTGGCCCTGAAGACTCTAAAAATGCCAGACAGAGACAAATGAGAGGGAAAAGTTCAAAGGTAATGGATGGTCCTTTAAAAAAGACCTTTGAGCTGGGCATGGTGGTGCACACCTATAATCCCAGCACTCGGGAGGCTGAGGCAGGAGGATCACTGTGAGTTCCAGACCAGCCTAGGCTACATAGTGAGTTCCAAGTCAGTCTGAACTACATAGTGAGACCCTGTCTCAAAACACCCCCCAAAAAAAAGTCCTTTGAGATTTTGTGTAGATATTGATAAATGCCTGGGACCATGTAACCAAAGCCCTAAAAAGTCAAACCAAACCAAAACCAAAACCAAACCAAAACATGGAAATATAAAAAGCATTCTGCGAGCATAATTCTAATTATAGCCAACTAGAAATATCAAGGTATTTTAGCAAAGCCTAGTTAGTGGGGATGGCGAGGCAAGCAATTCCCTTCCAAGTCAGTCTTCTGGTTTTGAATAGTGAAGGTAGGCCAGGTATGTCTGTGCACACCTGTAATGGCAGGACTTGGGCAGCTAAGGCAGGAGGGTCGGAAGTTTGAGGCCGGCCTACCTAAGCAATTTAATGCCTTGAAGAGACTCTGTCTCAAGGTAAAAAATAAAAAGGAACAGTAATGTAGCTCAATGTGAAGGCCTTAGGTTCAGGCCTCAGTATCACTAAAGAAAAGAGTGAGGGTGGGAGCCAGGAAGGGGTGCTGTGTCTTTATGGGGGGTGCAAGGATAGAGCCTGGAATGGGCAGGCAAGATGGCCGCCCACGGGACAACAGAGACAAGGCAGGAGCATTTCCCAGGTAACAGGTCAAGCCAGTCTCAGACAGGGTGGGAAGACAGAAGAATAACAGCAAAGCATCGAGAACATAAATGAGAGGACTTTCTATGGAACCAGACTCGATGGGTTCAAATCCCGGCTCTGCCACTCACTAACCATGCAGCAAGCGATTCAGTGAGTTAATACCTTCCAACGCGCTGACCATGCCCAGTGTGTGATCACACCCAGCAATGAACACACAGGGGTTTTGCCTCATTATTTCTAAAGCAGAGTTGCAGTGTTAACATCAGGGAAACACTAACTAGAGTAAAGGAGTCTGTAATATGATGGTAATAAACACTTTGCCATGTCTCTGGATGAACCAAAGAAAATGGCGGCTGCGTGGAGAACTTGATAAAAATGTTTGACGGTGGGAAAATTCATTGTCCTCTTTGTCAGCCGCAGGGATACAGTAGACATAAATAAATTAGATCGGCTGAGTATGGTGGCACATGCCTGTAATGCGAGCTACTTGACAGGCTGTGGCAGGAGGATCCCAAATTCATGATCAGCATTGGCTGCCTATGTAGTAAGACCTTAATTCAAAATAAAATTAAAAGTAAAAAAGAAAGGATTGGAATATAGCTCAGAGTTAGAGCACTTGCCTAGGGTGAATGAGGCCCTGGGTTCAACCTCTAGTGCTAGAAAAATAAAATTTAGAGAAAATGAATTATGGACTCAGCAAATTCATGGCAGTAGACAGTGTTAAATCTTTCATTTCTCAAATAGAAAATAAGTCAGGTGTAGGGGCAGATACCCATGATCCCAGGACTCTGAGAGGCTGAGGCAGGAGAATCACACATTCCAAGCCTAGTCTGGGCAATTTAGTAAGACCCTGTCTCAAAATAAAAAATAAAAAATGGCTGGAGAGGGCCGCGGTTTTAGTTCAGTGGTGCCACTGCCTGCCTCACAAGCACAAGGTCCTGAGTTCGATCCCTGGTACCAAAAACAACAACAACAACAACAGCTGGATAACGTAGTTCAGTACAAAGACCTTGGAGTCAATCCCCAGTACCATCAAGAAGAATCAATCGGCCGGGGGTTTAGCTCACTGGTTCTGGCGCCTGCAAATGCAAGGCCCCGAGTTCGATCCCTGGTACCAAAAAAAAAAAAAAAAAAAAAAAAATCAGTCATGCACTATAAAGCAAACATATTCAAAATATTAAATGTTACAGATCATATTTATCATTAAGCCAGTGTGAGAATTAATGAAAATAACCACAAAAATGTAACTACTTGAAAATGAAGACATACAATTCTAAATAATGCTAGGTGATCCTTATATACCTAGATAGCTTTAGATGAAAGAGGAATTCGAAACAAATTAAAACAATAAGAAAGCCAGGTGTGGTGGCACACGCCTGTAATCGCAGCACTTGGGAGGCTGAGGCAGGAGGATCGCTGTGAGTTCGAGACCAGCCTGGGCTACATAGTGAGTTCCAGGTTAGTCTCAACTACATAGTGAGACCCTGTCTCAAAAAAAAATTAAAACAATAAGAAAGAAGACATCAAAACACACACACAAAAGAAACCCACTTCACACTCAACCTACGGGTGCAGCAGTACTAGACTTAAAATCAAATGCCTCATGATTAAGGAAAAGTAATAAAAATAAAGTTCTCAGTTTGTATTGGAAAAATCACAGACTTAGTGTGGAGCAGTCTCTAAAATCAGTCCCTTTTTTTCCCTTTCCCTTTCTGTCCCTGTCCCTGTCCCTGTCCTGTCTCTCTGCCTCCCACCCCCATTTTCTGTATACATGTTTATTGGGTGACTGTTAAAAATGAAACTCTTATGAAAAAATGGGTTAAACGGTCTTATTTTGTCCCAAAGCACAAAACGCTGGTGAGGCATCCATCCACCTGTGACCCCTTGGCCTCTGTGTCCCCAGGTCCTGCAGGAGCAGATCCGCGCCAGGGACAACATTAGCTATGGAACTAATTCTGCCTTAAAGACCCTGGAGATGCGGCATATGTCTGGTTTGGGGGATCTGCGTGGAAGAGTGGCCAGGTAGGTGTGGGGTGCTGGGGCTCAAAGCCTCCGCTTGGGTGGGCAGTACGTTCGGAAGCCAGACTCCGGGCACTTTCTCTCCCCGCCTCGCCCGCGAAGCCCAGGGTGTGACCTGCTTTCTTGGTTTTCTCTCCCTCTGCTGGCCTGGCTGTGCCATTTGGCTGAGGCCGTGTATTTATCAAATAATACAAAGCTGGGACTTAAATTTTGTGTCTCTTTTTGGAAGTTGCATTTTTCTTATAATTTGTCGACATTTTCTGAAAGTTTTTTGGTCGGGTGAAAATTCTAAAAAAGAGGTCGTTCCCGTCTGACCCTGAGACGGGGCTCCCCGGTTCCCGCAGTGCTCCACGTACCTGCAGCCTGGGCCGGCCCAGCGGCTCAGCTCAGGGCCACCGCCCACGGCTGGGTTAGGCCCTGGATCCCGGTGCACGTTCGTGCTTGAGGAGGTCTGGGACAGGGTTCCCGATGGGAACCTAGGCACGTGGATGTGTGCCTGCATAGGGGTGACCGTGTGGTGGCCTCGGAGAGGAGGGGTAGGGGAGAGACAGGGCCTGGCAGGGCCCAGGGCCTCTTGGAGCAGACAGGGCAGCTTTGGGGTGTCTCTGTGTGGACACAGTGCCGTCTGTTAGCCCCTGGTTCGGCCGTTCTCCTGCCGCTGTGCCTTTGCACAGGCTGTTCCTGTACCCTGTGTCTCTCCTCTTCCTCCGCTGGCTTCTCGTCCATCCCTGAAGTTCAGCTCTCATGTCCCCTCCTCCGGTGTCTTTCCTGACGCCCTGCTCTGTCCCGTTGCCGCCTCACTCTGTCATCCCCCTTTCTTGGGTTCTGCATCTTTCTCTTCGGTGGCCGAGTGTCTGGAGCGGTCTCCGGAGAACAGCAGGCTCTCAGCAAATGTTTGGATGCATGAACGATCCAGAAAAGAATCGCTGGAAGAAGGCGGGGAAGGCTTGGGACCTTATTCGTGGGGTTTAGCTGGAAGGAAATTGAAGCTGTAGGAGTCAGAAAGACCAGAGCAGCAGGGCACAGGGGACCTCGGGAGAACTTGGCAGATCTTTATGCCCACTGGCATTGCAGAAAAAGACTAAGTAAAGAGAAGTTCGTCACGGCGCCCCCTGGAGTGATCTTGGAGTAAACGGTGGCTGTTGGCATTTTAGGGGAACTGGGATAATAGTCCTGATGCTGCATCTGGAAGGAGAGAAATTACGTGAAAACGCTGTCGAGAATCTTAGAACTTTCATTGTAGCACCGTCACAAAGCTTTGTTACGAGCACGATACTGAGCACGATACTTTTGTGTTGTTGGGAATCGAACTCTGGCCCTTGTGCTTACAAGGCAGGCGCCGGAACCACTGAGCTAAATCATCCCCCACCCCACACCGCCAGCATGAGACGATACTTTGGCTTTGTCTCGCGCCTGTATTGTCTTTCCCTTGGAATGCTAATGAGTCTTTGTTGAATCGAATTCTCGTGAAATAAAACTTCTTTGATGAGGTTTGACGTTCTTATGTGGGTTAAGTAATTGGATTGGGGGTATGGGGTATTTCAGTGATATTCTTACATTACTAGGCTGTAATATTACTGCATATTTAATTTTATAGTTTCTGTGGCTCCATTTGTGACATAATAGCGAACAACCCCTGATTTTTTGCCTGTAAACCCAGCTCAGAAGGGTTCTCCCCGGTGGTCTTACCCTACTAGGCATAATACACCTAAGAGGACCTGGTTGGAGACTCCTCCTTTCTCCCTAACGCAGAGCTCTGGGAGTTTAATTTCCCAATTCCAAGTGGAATCATTGGCCCCCTCTCTGGTGTAAATCTCCTTTTCTCCAAGCTCCGGTGGCTGCTCCTCCTGCTCCTCCTTTCCTCTGTGAGCTTGCGTTGGTGCCTAAGCTCTTTCCTAGGTGCTAGCTGGGAACGGGAGAAGAATTATTACTGGGAGACCCAGCAGGCGAGCGCCCTCCCTCTCCCTCCTCCCCTCTCCCTCCTCTGTCTGTCTGTCTCATCCCTTGTTCTTTTTTTTTTTTGAGGCTGTGCAAATATTTTATGGAGTGTAACATGAATGTCATTGTTAAGTAAAAGCACCTGTTATCTCTTTAGCTCATTAATTATAAGTAAAACAGCATAT